TGCATATATATACATATGATTCATATATATTTATAATATATTATATATATATATATATATATATATATATAAGATAAATAAATATATAATATATATATATATATATATATATATATATATATATATATATATATATATATGTATAGATATAGATAGATACATACAAACATACACACATACATACACACACACACACACACACACACACACACACACACAAACACACAACACACACACACACACACACACACACGCACGCACACACACACACACACACACACACACACACACACACACACACACACACACCCACACACACACACACACACACACACACACACACACACACACACACACAAACACACACACACACACACATTGCGATCTTGTGTTGGTATTTCATGACTGGCACTCGACTTCATCAGGAACTGTCGCCGCTGATCGAAAGCCAGAGAAACGACTTCATTCCGTCCACATGCAGAAGGCGGGGCGACCTTACTGCCAAGTAGGTACCCGTTCGCCTCACCCCGTCAGGAGAGAGGCCGAGCGCTGCCAAGAGAAGAGCGATAGCCTGTGTCGAGCGGGCAGCGGATTAGCTTAATCCTCCAGGCTGTCTCCCACAGCGACCAAAAGAGAGGAGGAGAGAGAGCTGCTCGGAAACACCTTGGGCTTTGGCCGGGTCGGTAGTACATAGAGATAGATAGATAATAGATACACAACACACACAGCACTACACACACACACACACACACGCACACACACGCACACACACACACCACACACACACACACACACCACACACACACACACACACACACACACACACACACACACACACACACACACACACACACACACACACACACACACACACACACACACACACACACACACACACACACATATACATGTGTATGTATGTGTGTGTGTGTGTGTGTGTGTATGTGTACGTATATGTATATTATATATGTATTACCCTGAGTAATGCGTTGATGGGTTGTGTGGCTTGACTGATTAGCATTGGGTTAACAAATTCGTTAGCCTTGCTTTGGTGATGGGAATTACAACGTTTGAGGATAATGCACTTAGCTGGCAATACTATGGTATGCTTATTGGGAATGCAATCACATAACGCGTTTTGCCATGGGAATGCCATAGTGAGGGCACGGGATGATTCGACCACACAAAACGCCCAATTTGTAATACGTATGTGTTTGACCATTTTATTAAGCAAACGAGGTGAATTAAGCCGAGTACGTGTCACATTATATAGACATAGCAATTTCGTTGCGTGCGGTTTTCCCCTAATTCACGGGAATACTCCAACCCTTTTCGTATACTTATCACGAAGCTTTTCGACATCACCATGACCTTCCTTGCGACTTCCTTGCGACCTGATAGTAGAACTGCCAATAAAAAAGTACTTAACTGGCAACTGTTCAACCTTTGGGGGCTGATGTATCATTTTCTTGGGCTTCATTATAGTCAGTAATTGATTCATGGGTAGTTAATGGTAGGAAGGAGACGCCCCGCTTTGTGATGTCAGGATGTCAGGAGCTACTAACGGTCGCCCATATAGTGGAGAAGGAAGTAGGATTTTTAGATGGAAAATTCCTCTACCTGTCTCGCCCATATATACTGACGAGTTATTTTTGGGGATAGAGACTTTGACGTCTTAATATTCATGGGTATAATTTTAATGATTTCATTGTTTTATTTTTTTAAGTGTTTACGAATGCATCTGTGGGCATGGTACATACCCTTAAATAGTCGTGTAAGAAGGCCTTTATAGTATTAATCCTGAAGTCATTTGGGGAAAAATAGATCTTTATTTCTCAAATCCTATTAATGTAAGATAATGTAAAGCTCACCTATTTATCGTGTAATCTGCATGCTTCCTTCTTTTTAGAAAAAGAAAAGGAACATCAGATTGTATTATCACATGTCTATCTGCTGACAGAAGGAACTGCTAATTCAGATTCATTTACGAGTTACATTTGGAGCATTAGGAGTACCAGGAGAGTATCATATATTTATGTAAGTATATATATATATATATGTATATATATATATATATATATAACATTATATATATATATATATATGTGTGTGTGTGTGTGTGTGTGTGTGTGTGTGTGTGTGTGTGTGTGTGTGTGTGTGTGTGTGTGTGTGTGTGTGTGTGTGTTTCATATGGACTGGCGACAATCTGATAGAAAGGTCTATGTGTGTTTTAAGAGCAATTTGGCAGAGGAAAAATATCTTTTGTTGGTCACTCTGCAGAGAGGCTACTCAGTCCCATATCATGTCTTATAAAACAGCACAGTCGTGGAGAAATATTCCCAGGACGCCGTTATTCACTTCCATATCCATAAGCAACTGATACAGGGAACTAGACAACACCGTTTGCAAATGACACCGACTAGATCTAGTTATCTTGCTCAAAGAAAAGGACATATCATTAACCCATTATGGGCCACATATACTTTCTTTGACCCCTAAAATCATATTTGGACGTAATAAATAATAATTCTTAGCAATATTTACAGTTTATACGATCATGCAGCCATGAGACTAATTCGTTAACTGATAACTGCCACTGACAATACTTCCATCTTTATTACACGTGTGGAACAATTTAGGAAATACCGTTTTTAAAGTGAATAAAAAGGTGAATGTTATCAGAGTTATACTGTTATAAGTATACAGCCGTAGCAAGCTGTTGTTTGTCTCGTCCAAGCACAATTTGACCTTACCTTTGAGGCAGAACAAAGAAAGAATTAACATCTCTGGAAAGTGACCTATTTTTTTCAGATCTCATATCCTTCCGAAGCATCAGGCGAGGACAGTTTCATAGCTACGGATGTAAATGAAAATACTACACATGGTGACTTTGAGACAAATGTAGAAAAGGTGCAAATGAGAATGAATATTGTCACAGCACAAGTGAAGAATCTGACCGATAATATCTCCGTCAGAAATACACGAAGAAGACATAATGAAAACCAATTAAATGCACCTCTTGCACTAAGATACTTATTCTCAGTCACACCTATTCTACACCTGTTAAACCTGCATGAATAGTTCAAGCAGGTAGCCCGAAATAAACCTATAGTTGCTACATAGACTTTCCACGAGGATACGGAAATAACTGATCATTAGAACCTGCCACACAGTAGACCGCCGCACCGCCCCTCTCCCGCTGTGGACGTGGCATCCTGGGCGCAACAAAACCCATTCATTAATTCAGTGGCCGTTTGCGATGCCTTAAATACGTCCATGTAAGAACTTTGTACATATTATATTGTAGAGATGCATGTAGTATATTGAAAAAAGGAGAGAGAGAAAGAGAGAGAAAGTGTGTGTATGTAAGTCATTCTGTCAGTGAAAAGGTGAGAGAGAGAGAGAGAGTGTCAAGTAATTTCTGTCATGAATGAGTGAGACAGAGAGAGAGAGAGAGAGAGAATGTGGCGTAATTCAGTCATTCTGTCAGTGAATGAGTGAGCGAGAGAGAGAGAGACGAGAATGTCAGTCATTCTGTCAGTGAATGAGTGAGACAGAGACAGAGAGAGAGACAGAGAGAAGTGTGGTAAGTCAGTCAATCTGTCAGTGAATGAGTCGAGTGAGAGAGAGAGAGAGAGAGAAGAGTGTCAGTCTAGTCAGTGTCAGTGAATGAGAGAGAGAGAGAATGTAGTCATTCTGTCAGTGAATGAGAAGACAGACAGACAGACAGAGAGAAAGGAAGAGAGAGCTAACCCAATCACGCATCACGATTTTCACTAACATCTGACGCGTTCCCTTACAACCCTGAATTAATGACCGCAAATTTCGTTCTATTTACACAAGTGCTCTCCTCCAAGCGGCCCAACACCTTCCCTATTTCTTCCGCTTTTAGTTCTCTGACTCTAAATCCTATTTAACATGCCGGTGGGAACGCTTTTCTAAGTGGTAAAAAAAGACTCATGATATTTTTTGACACGGACTTGACGATTCAGCGCATGTGTGGGGTCACGTTGGTTTTTGTTGTTATATCTGGTGGTTGGTAAGATGGGGTTGTATGAGTATCTGGTGTGGTGGTAGATATCGTCGTGGTTGGTAAGTCTGGGTTGTTATATCTGGTGTGGTTGGTAAGTCTGGGGTTGTTATATCTGGTGTGGTTGGTAAGATATTATAATCTGGTGTGGTTGATAAGACTGGGTTTGTTATTCTGGTGTGGTTGGTAAGACTGGTTGTTATTATCTGGTTGGTTGGTAAGTTCTGGTTTGTTATAAACTGGGATGTTATATTCTGTGTGGTGGTTGCTGGGTTGTTATATCTGGTGTGGTTGGTAAGTCTGGGTTATATCTGGTGTAAGTATTGTTATATCTGTTGTGGTTGGTAAGTCTGGGTTGTTTATCTGGTGTGGTGGTAAGTCTGGGGTTGTTATACTTGGTGTGGTGGTAAGTTGTTATATCTGTGTTGGTAAGACTGGGTTTGTTATATCTGGTGGTGTAGACTGGGGTTGTTAACATATCTGTGTGGTTGGTAAGACTGGGTTGTTATATCTGGTGTGGTTTTTGGTAAGACTGGTTTTTATAATTCTGGTGTGGTTGGTAAGTCTGGGGTTGTTATATCTGGTGTGGTTGGTAAGTCTGGGGTTGTTATATCTGGTGTGTGGTTTGGGTTGTGGGGTTGTTATTCTGGTGGTTGGTAAGTCTGGGTTTGTTATATCTGGTGTGGTTTGGTATCTGGGTTATATCTGGTGTGTTTGGTAAGTCTTGGGTTGTTATGTCTGGTGTGGTTGTAAGACTGGGTTTGTTATATCTGTGTGTGGTTGGTAAGTCTGGGTTGTTATATTCTGGTATTGGGTGGTGTGTTGTATGTCTGGGGTTGTTATATCTGTGTGGTTGTTATGTGTCTGGGGTTGTTATATCTGGTGTGGTTGGTAAGTCTGGGGTTGTTATATCTGGTGTGGTTGGTAAGTCTGGGGTGTTATATCTGGTGTGGTTGGTAAGTCTGGGTTGTTATATCTTGGTCTGGATAATCTGGTGTGGTTGGTTGGGTTTGTTATATCTGGTGTGGTTGTTGGTGTTGGTTGTTGGTGTTGTTGGTATCTGGGTTGTTATATCTGGTGGGTTGGTTGGTATATCTGGTGTGGTTGGTATGGGGTTGTTTATCTGTGTGGTTGGTAAGACTGGGGTTGTTATATCTGTGTGGTGGTAAGTCTGGGGTTGGGTCTGGGGTGGTTATATCTGTGTTTGGTAAGACTGGGGTTGTTATATCTGGTGTTGGGTAAGACTGGTGTTGTTATATCTGGTGTGGTTTGGTAAAGACTGGTGTTATATGGTGTGGTTGGTAAGTCTGGGGTTGTATATCTGGTGTGGTTGGTAAGTCTGGGGTTGTTATATCTGGTGTGGTTGGTAAGACTGGGGTTGTTATATCTGGTGTGGTTGGTAAGTCTGGGTTTGTTATATCTGGTGTGGTTGGTAAGTCTGGGGTTGTTGTTATGTCTGGTGGTGTGGTTGAAGTCTGGGTTTATATCTGGTGTGGTAAGTCTGGGTTGTTATATCTGGTGTGGTTGTAATTGGTATATCTGGTGTGGTTGGTAAGTCTGGTTTTGTTATATCTGGTGTGGTTGGTAAGTCTGGGGTTGTTACTGGGTGAGTGGTTGTTTGTTGTATCTGGGTTGTGGTTGGTAAGGATGGGGTTTGTTATATCTGGTGGTGGTTGGTAAGTTGGTGTTGTTATATCTGGTGTGGTGGTATAGACTGGGGTTGTATATCTGGTGTGGTTGTAAGACTGGGTTGTTATATTCTGGTGAGTGGTTTGGTAAGACTTGGGGTTGTTATATCTGGAGTTGTGGTGGTAAGACTGGGTTTGTTATATCTGGTTGCGTTGGTAAAGACTGGGTTTTATTCTGGATGTGGGTTGGTAAGTCTGGTTTGTTATATCTGGTGTGGTTGGTAAGACTGGTGTTGGTTATATCTGGTGTGGTTTGGTAAAGTCTGGTGTTGTTATATCTTTGGTTGTGTGGTAAGTCTGGGTTGTTTCATCTGGTGTGGTTGGTAAGGAGTTGTTGGTGTGGTTGGTAAGTCTGGGTTTGTTATATCTGGTGTGGTTGGTAAGTCTGGGTTTGTTATATCTGGTGTGGTTGGTAAGTCTGGTGTTGTTATATCTGGTGTGGTTGGTGACTGGGTTGTTATATCTGGGTGTGGTGGTAAGACTGGGTTTGTTAATATCTGTGTGGTTGGTAATGATCTGGTGTTGTTATATCTGGTGTGGTTGGTAAGTCTGGGGTTGTTATATCTGGTGTGGTTGGTAAGACTGGGGTTGTTATATCTGGTGTGGTTGGTAAGACTGGGGTTGTAAATATTGGTGTGGTTGGTAAGACTGGTTTGTTATATCTGGTGTTGGTTGACTGGTGGTTACTGGTTTTGTTACATCTGGTGTGGTGGTAAGACTCTGGTGTGTTATATCTGGTGTGGTTGGTAAGACTGGGTTTGTTATATCTGGTGTGTTGTATTATCTGGTGTGGTTGGTAAGTCTGGGGTTGTTATATCTGGTGTGGTTGGTAAGTCTGGGTTTGTTATATCTGGTGTGGTTGGTAAGTCTGGGTTTGGTGTTATATCTGGTGTGGTGGTAAGGACTGGGTTTGTTATATCTGGTGTGTGTAAGACTTGGCTGTTGTTATATCTGGTGTGGTTGGTAAGACTGGGGTTGTTATATCTGGTGTGGTTGGTAAGACTGGGGTTGTTATATCTGGTGTGGTTGTAAGGTGTGTTGTTATATCTGGTGTGGTTGTCTGTATATCTGGGTGGTTGGTAGACTGGGTCTGGTGGTTGGTATATCTGGTGTTGTGTGGTGGTAAGTCTGGTGTTATATCTGGTTGTGGTTGGTAAGTCGGGTTGTTATATCTGGTGTGGTTAAGTCTGGTTTTGTTATATCTGGTTGTGGTAAGTCTGGTTTGTGGTTGGTAAGTCTGGGGTTGTTTATATCTGGTGTGGTTGTAAGTCTGGGTTGTTATATCTGGTGTGGTTGGTAAGTCTGGTATTGTTATATCTGGTGTGGTTGGTAAGTCTGGTGTTGTTATATCTGGTGTGGTTGGTAAGTCTGGTGTTGTGTTTTATTACGTTTTTTTTTTTTTTTTTTTTGTATATCCTGGTGAGGTTGTTACGTTGGTATATCTGATGCGGTTGCACTGGTTGTTATATCTGGTGTGGTTGTTGTACATCTGGTGTGTTTGTTGTATATCTGGTGTTGTTGGTTATATCTCTGGTGTGGTTGGTAAGTCTGGTTTTGTATATGGTGGTTAAGTCGGGTGTGATTGTTCGTCTGGTGTTATTAGCCTGTATTTGTTGTTACGTCTGGTGTGGCTGTTTGCATGTGTTTACGTCTGGTGTGGTAAGTCTGGGGTTGTTAAATGTATCCCTGATATGGTTCTGTTGTTGTCTGGGTCGTCTGTTACCGTCGTGGTTAGTTATATCTGGTGTTTTTTTTCTGGTGTTTTCTTTTTTTTATGTCGTGTGGTTTAGTCTGGTTGTTAGTCGCATGGTGAATGGAATAAAAGATAAAAAGTATCGGTGTTCTATATGGTCGAGTGCAAATTCACTTAAATCATTGTTTTTTTTTTTTTTTTTTTGTTTGTTTTTTGAGGGGGTCATTATCCTATTAACCTCCATCGTGGGTATAGATATTTTTTCTTTTCTTCTAGTTTTCGAATAATATAAAGTATATTGGATAAGTAAATACACTGTTTACGAAAATCCGATTCACATCCACTTCCTTTGCAAGGTAATTCGTCAACAAATGCACTTGGTATGTCATCTGAGATACAGCTGATCTTCTGACCAACTGAGCTTCCAGTGACTAAATTTTGACCTTTGGACTGTAGCAAACTCGGGTCATCCTGGGTCATTCTAGGGTGAGGGAGGGAAGGAAGGAGGGCAAGGAGGGAGGAAGGAAGGGCAAGGGAGGGAAGGAAGGAGGAGGAAGGGCAAGGGAGGGAAGGAGAAGGGGGAGGATGGATTGAAGGAGGAAATGAGGAGTGACTTGGACTGGAGGGAGGGATGAAGGAGAGAGGTGGGAAAGGAGGGAGGTAAGGAGAGAGAGAGAGAGAGGAAAGGAGGGAGGGAAGGAGGGAGTCAGATAATCCGGTGACAATCACACATATAGGAAGTTAAACCATCTTTGGTCGATCAAGGAAAGTACCAAAGTGATGGATTTTTTTTCCAACGCTTGAGAGAGGCGTTCAGGCTTTTGGCAACGGTTTGTGACATTTTACGACATCGTTTAAACTCATACAAGCCTGAAAATCAGCCTGAAATTCGTTACTACAGGCCCACCTCGTCTCTCTTGTACTTAGTTTTTTTTTCACCAGAGAACCTTAACCTTAAGCTTAACCGTGTTTATGTTATATAACAGAAATACGATAGATATATTTCTAGACCATTCTGTATCCAGAGATCAAAGAAAGAAACGATTTTTGATTGCCATCGGAAATATCTGGAACCCTTTAATATCGCTTTCATACCAATTAATATTATGAATTTCAAGGAAAATCTTGAAAAAGGAAATCAATTTGAATTAAACATACACATAAAAACAAAAAAAAAAATTATATGCCATTTCTGAAATCGGAGGATGTGTGTAAATGACATAACCAGGGAAAGAGCCCTCCATCCCATAGCGAGAAAGAAACCCGATTAGTTACAACACCACAATGGCAGTGCAGAAAATGTGCTAACCGAATGATGTACTTTATGTCTTTTGTGCTTATCTGTATGTACTTAAAAAGGGGTGGCTTGTTTTTATTTCCATGTAAAAGGGCATATTTAATATGGGTTATATCTCTGGGGTACCAAATGAGAGACAAGGGGTTGGGTGGATTGTTTAAAGAGAGAGAAAAGTTTGGGGAGACAGAGGGTGGAGGGAGGGAGGGAGGGAGGAGGGAGAGAGAGAGAGAGAGAAGAGAGAGAGAGAGAGGAGAGAGAGAGAGAAGAGAGAGAGAGAGAGAGAGAGAGAGAGAGAGAGAGAGAGAGAGAGAGATGAAGCAAGACAGAGAGAGAGGGGAGGAGGAAGGGAGAAGAGAGAGAGAGGAGAGGGAGAGAATCTCTGGACAAGTTCTGAGCAGTCATTCATGCTGTTCTGATATTGTTGATAATCAGGCGTATTGTGTGGAATGAGGTGTTAGAGAGTTTTTTTTCCCTAGCTCGCCTTACGCCTGGCAATGCATTCAGCAGCCAATCAGTGTTTATGGCAAACAGTGACGTCTTTATCCTAACTCCAAACGCATTAGATTTTTGCACCTACAAAAGATGCCTTGATATATGTTTTTCTAGTATAACTACAGTTCGAAGTGGATTAAAAATATTCTTTATTACTGTTTATTCTTTAAATGCACATATGTAACACAGCGAAATGTTACTAGTTGTAAAGAAAAGATGGCAGCAAAAACATTATTTCAATGGGTCATCTTTTTCGTCATTAACTCTCGAACGTGTATTTCAAATTTTCCTTTATTGTGTATATAAGTGCGCCATCAGCGTAACATTAATAGTTAATAATAATAAACCAATGATACAAGAATACTCACTTTATGTAGCAGTCCTCCAGGAATTCCATACAAGTCCTTTTGACAGTCCTACAACTTTGCAACAATTTATTTTTCGCGTCGAAAGTCGGGTAAATAAATATACTTCGTGGGATTTTGTGTCGGGCAGAGACAAAAAAGTTTGAATTTGATCTTGATGAAAAGCGAAGAGTGAGCACCCTTCGCCGGGAAAGTCATGTAAAACAAACATCTCATCAGCTCTTCAGCCATCGGTCCGGTGCGCACGCCGTCTTTGGAGAGAACTGGCCATGCAAAGTATCAGTGCACGCTAGACAAAAGGCTTTCCTCCGTGACACCTTGCTGAAAATACCAAGAAAAAAAAAAGCACAAGGAGAAAGAAAAGAAAGAAGAAAAAAACACGAGAACCGAAGACAAAAGACGAACATTTAAACCCCACAGAAGATTGAAAGATACAAACCGTCCACATAACGAATCAAGAAAGGAGATAAGAATAAACAAAACATAAAACAACACAAACCCAAGAGAGAGAGAGAGAGAGAGGGTAAAGAACAAGGGAAAGAACAGAAAAAAAGCAAAAAAAAGCGCCTTGAATAACACGTGTACCTGTAATCGATATCGGAAAGGACTTGTCGCTCGTGTTCAGTGGATATTGATTAAAGGCATTGCAAAGTCGTCTTTACACGCGCACATACACCTAGGTTGGATCAACACAAAGGCCCGGCGAATGACCTTGATTGTGAGTGTTACTGGGGTCGTGAACAACGCAGTTAGGGGCTGTTGGGTGGTAGGCGTTGTGTGTGTGTGTGTGTGTGTGTGTGTGTGTGTGTGTGTGTGTGTGTGTGTGTGTGTGTGTGTGTGTGTGGTGCGTGCTGTGTGTGTGTGTGTGTGTGTTTCTAATGTGTTCGTTGACTGTTCATTTTTAGGCGTCTATTTATAGCGTTCAATTCACGGCGTAAGAAATAGAAAGAGATTGGCTAGAGGGGACGAGAGAATAGGGCTAAATGTCGATCATTATTCACCACCTCCCCCCCAAAAAAAAATATATATAATAAATAAATAAATAATACAATGCGCATTCATTGTGTTACATTACGTAATGAAACACAGAGGGTGATGGTCATAGTTTTAATTTGTGGACGGGGAAATCAAAACAATTTTAGGGTGAAATATGAGTAATCTCTTTTGCAAGGGAGAGTCAATATCATTTTAATTCCCTGTTCTGCACACACGGGCGGTTATACATGTAGACACATACACACATACATGAGATAGACAAATGCCTTTACAGAAGTAACTCCAACAAGAAAAAATATAGACAGACAGACAGACATAGGTAGAGAGACAGACAGATAGACAGACATAGGTAGAGAGATAGAGAGACAGACACCCAGACATACAGACACACAAACAGACATATAGACTAGATAAATAGATACACACGCTCACTACTTGAGTAAAACTTTTCGTGCACAAACAGAGACGAAGGGAAGGACAAGAAAGGAATCAATTATCCCCAAAACTGCTTCGCTCCCCCTCCCCCCTTCCCCCCGCTTTCCCTCCCCCCCCTCCCCACTCCACCCCCACCCCCCTCTCTACAAGGACTCGAAGGTAACTTGACACCCGTATGGCCGGGGGGGGAGGGGGAGGGGAGAGAGGGGGAGAGGGGGCCTTAAGAGCGAAGGACTACCTCTCTGCCTCTTGAGTGTCCTGTCACGCCTGTGATTTATGGACACGTGGGCGGGTTATCTGGGTTTTGCTGATAGATCTCGAATATGTAAGATAGATGGAGAAAAATATGATGTATATACACATATAGGCGCACACACACACATACACACTCACACTCACACACACACACACACACACACACACACACACACACACACACACACACACACACACACACACACACACACACACACACACACACACACACACACACACACACACACACTACACACACAAACATGGACACACACTTGCACTAAAAGCCTATACTTCCAAACAATAACGAAATCCAACACGCGCACCAACATTCCATTCTACTTTTTCTTTTCTTTTTCTTCTCCTTCCCTTTCTTCTCTTTTCCTTTCTTTTTTTCTCTCCATTGGTTATGGGTCTTTAATTCCAGTGTCTCAGATTTCGCATAATGGAATTCACAGATTGGGTCTTGTTGACTCGGGACTCACGGGTAAATTTGCAATAAGGTTTGTTTGCGCGTGTGTTAGCGTGTGTGTGTGAGCCTTCGAGATCAGATGGTCCAGGCAGACGATTTCTTAAAGCTAGCTGTATGCATGTTATTAAGTTCAAAAAGAGACGTTTGATATTGATAATAAGCGCTTTTTCATATATTTATGGATTAGTCAAGTGGATTAATCGGAATATTTTAAGAAATAGTAAGGATGGTGATAATGATAATCATGATACTCACAGATGACATAGTAAATTGTAGTAAGAGTAGGAAGGAAGTTAAGGAGAGCTTGGAGAGGTAGAGATAACACTAGATAAAGGAGAATTAGAAGAGAGAAGGAGTTTGACAGAATGCGTGTGTGTGAATGAGAGGGATGGAGGTAAAGATGGATGGTGTGGTTGTAAGTAGATTTCTTGAAGATAAGTGAGAATAGATGCCTGATGTCTACACTTCGAAGCAATGGTGGGTGTAGTGAGGGTAGAAGAAGACAGTGAAGGTGTAACAGATAAAAATAAATAAATAAAGACTGAGACTTGTGGGAAATGGAGATGTATGGTCCACCGTGGTAGCCCCTATTGGGATTAGCCAAAAGAAAAATAATAATGGCAACAACAGCAACAACGATGATAATAATAACGATAATGATGAAGATGATAATAATAGTAATAATAATGATAACAATAATGATCATAGAAATAACGATGATAAAATAATAATGGTTATATAAATAACAACAACGATAACAAGAATAATGATAATGACAATGGTAGCAATAATAAACAGTAATAACAATAATAATGATGACAATAGTAATAATAAAAAACAATAGTAAAACAAAAAGAAAACAAACCAAAAAACACTAATAATACGAATAATGACAAAAAAAAAATAACAACACCAATCAGCCACCACACACCCACTTATCGACGACAGTACAATAAAAGTCGAGCTAAGGACATAAAAAAACCTCGATCAGGAGATTTTCCGGTCGAGCAGAGACTCCACCACCGCCTACCCCCCCTCCCCCTGGCAACGGATCAGCCTCGACGTCGTCCTCGACCGCCCCAGTCAGCCTTGAAGTTCGCCGAAAGGTTAATTCCGTCGGATCAAACGCAGCAAGTTCAAACGCGAGAAAGTATGAACACATGTTTAT